CGGTCAATCTACATTGGTGCTTAGTGCGTCCAATTTACTTGAACCGCTACTTAGTAGACTTTGTATGGTGAAGTCAGCCATTTTAAATTGACATTTGAGGTGGTCGTGTTGGGAAGGACTACGAATCTGTGAACAGGTTTGCTATCTACCACATTAAAATTGTGACGTATAAAGCCTCATTAATTTGTCATTAGCCTTTATAATAAGTTACTAGCAGTTGCCCATGACTTTGTGCGAAATTAAAAGTGTAGGTGCAAAACAGTTAAAAAAAAATTCAAATTGGTCCAGTAGTTTTGAAGCTTCTTTAATTTGTTTGGCTCTTTAGTTTCTAATTGTTTCTTATTATCTACTTGGTTTCATACCTGTCAGCGAGTAAGTTGGGTTCTAGATGTCGTTTTCCGCATAACTACTCGTGTAGATAGGTACATATCTATATAGCTAAATACACAATACGTGCTTTATCTACTAAATAATCTAGGCGATTTGCCTGCCTAACGTGTGTAACCAGCGTAACATAGAATCTTGGCATGAGTGTGCCAACAGTATGCCATGTGGCATTCATGAGGAAGAACTTTATGTACACTTTGATAATGCCGAGTATGACCTTGACGTTTATCGTAATCGTGTAGGCAGGAAGTTGGTTTTGTTGCGCTTCAGGAACGTTCAATAACGATGGAACCGGTTTTATTTCTCACAATGTGTGTTGCCTGCTTTAGTTTATAGCTTTTTCTATAAGATTGCGTTTACAATCAGCCAGTACACCACGTATTGTTCAGATTCAAGGTCTTAATATTTAACCACAGACAAACTGCAGATTATTTTGCTAAAATTCGAAAAACAATCAAAAACCAACTGGCCGGAATTTGTTGTTAATATGTTTACATATTAACAGCGTACAAATAAAACTAAATATATTATTTGTATAAGGAACAAAGGGCTTTATAAAGTTTTGATGCTGTAGCAAATGTTACGCAAAATTTATTGCGTATTTGAATTTATTTATAGTACCTACCTACTCTATTTTGTGGTGGTGACGTCACTCATTTGGAAACAATCAGAGACAATGGAAGACTGTGATAACGGAGGTGTAAGGCTTGTCGCGTGGGTTTGCTCTCGCCGACGCAAATATATTTGCATAGCTTTCTATTGATTTCGTTTTCAAAGAAATTTAACTCAAGGCTGGCTTAGTGGAAATAGGGTTTAAAGTATAAGTACTCAAATTCTTAATGATTGTTTAAATAGTTCCTTAGTTTAGTACTAAATACACACTCGATGTTGTCGTAGACATATTTGTTTAATACAAGATACTAATAAAGAACATTTCTTTGAATATGTCATCAAGAGGACGTCGTCAGTATATAAGATGTAAATATACTATGGTTTACAAAGTAAACACCACAACGTGAGGTTGGTAGCAACACGCGCGGCACACGTAAGCAGGCTTTATGTGTACCGCCGTACGCGAACGTGCAGACGTGACGTCACAACACGTGTCCCCCCTACCTCCCACCGCTCCTCCACTCTCCACGCCGCACAGTGTATCTAGTCTAGATAGATACGAATTGTGACGCTATAGGTCCCTACAGGTGAAGATTTAAGCTAGGCTATTAACATTGTCTGATGTCCCAAGCACTGTATAATTGTAGCTTAAAACAAACTGTAGTCATAAGAATCTCATGAAAGGGTTGTATGGTAGTAGATATATAAACAGTGGTGCAGTGCTAGAATACCATATTTTGCATCAATTGGTCGATTTGACCGGTAAAATACCACGACCACACAGATGATGGCCGTCATGTGGAAGTAATTCCTCGTACAATCTGCTGAGTGAGCTTGTCAAAGGACTAATTTTACTTCTTTTCACCCTTACCTTTTCGTGTAAGGAAGGAATGGGAGGGAGGTGGAAGACGCATAGATAGAAAAGCAAAAGAAAGAAAATATCTCCACTTTGTGTGTTTCCTTCTCTGTCGATAAAAGGTGGGCAACGCTTTTTAAAATATAGATTTCTGTAGGCAACAGTTATTTCTCTATTTTTGAGTAAAAAAACAAATGTAAACTCTTAAAACTGCGTAAGTCATTTTTCTTGTTTTTAGTACATTTATATTACGTAATCGTAATACGTTTGTGTGCTTCATACTTTTTCATAGCACACAAATACATTTTTTTAACAATCACATATAAGGAAATGAAATTAGAGGAAGAGGATTGTTAAATTTTTTTCCGCATCGGAATTAGCAGTAGGATGTTCTTCATGTTACAAAGGTTATACTTCAATAACAACTAAGCGAGGTTAAATATAACTACAGCTTTACTAAGCGACTCTCTAATATTTTTTTAATAACTCTCTTTGTGTTCTCGGCCAGATTTAAAAGAGTTATCTTGGCTTTCTAAGACCAAAACTGCTGTTTCAATTATATTTTTATCTCTGTTTTGTGAAAGTCAGGGAAAACGTAATGTTTCATACAGAGACCTTGGTCTTAGGAACCCACGCTAAGGTGGCGTTGTATTCGTATTATGGCCATCTGTTGTATATTCAGGTTTTTATATGTTTAAACTACCCAATCTACATAATTTTCGAACCCCGTACTTCATCTTAATAACCACTGAGCCATAGGGGCTTCAAAGATAAACACAAGCCGCGTCTGTAAGCTATCAGCAAGGGCCTCCCTACCGAGATACATTGTCGGCTGCTGCTCTCTCTGTTCCACTTGCACATTATACCCTATGTTAGAGTAGGACGGAAAGCCATGTATGCGGAATGGCTCAGTAGTAGCAATGTTGTGCTATATTGTACTTTATAGCAAAAGTTGTAGAATTGAATATTGTTGAGGGTTCGATGTATTATTTTTAAATGTTGCAACTATGTCCTAGTATTCCCATGAGTAATTTCCAATGAGAAATAATATTCATTGGTTTTTCGTTGGTTTCTGAGACCAAAATCCATACATAAAACATATTGTTATATCTATTTTTTCAACGATAACGAGAGAAATGACAAGTTTTATAAAAATATTTTGTTCTCAGAAATCAGCTATAAGTCGGTGAATACTTTTCCTACTCTAGAAGTATGTACGTGATTATTACTTTTTTATATACACCAAAATTCGTCGTACTGACTTCAAAGGTCCAAGTAGTTTTCGCCGTACAAAAACTTTGTACAAACTTTATGCTATCATTTTAAACCTTATCACAAAGTTATAAAGTCGATATTCCAATGCAACGATTATCACAACAGCATTGTTTTGAAAGCCAATGTTTTATTTCTCTTTGTTCATAAAATGCTATGCTCAAGTCGACCTTAATGTTTTGAAATACGGTACATATTTAAATGATTCGTGCACGTGTCGTATTGTTTGTGGACGCGACAAAGACGCGACGAGTCATCTACGCGAGCCCACAAGGGCATTGACAACCTCAATACAATATAGACCTTATTCACTAAGTTTTAAGAGATATTTTAGTTCGATGATAGACATCCTTGTATTCCCGAAACTGCGGGGTCGTCGACCGCTCAGTTTCCCCAAGTTCCGTAGGGTTTAGGGTTCACATCTGTAAAGTGGGTGCTATTTCTCATAATATCAGGCATGCAAATAAATTCTCTCATATCTAGCAAACTAGTATTAAGCTATATCTTACTAATATTGTAAATGCGAAAGTTTGGATGGATGTTTGTTACTACGTATCTGGAGAAAAGCTGAATGGAAAAGAAAGAAGAACATACATCCTACTAATTAAGTTAATTTGTTGTTTTCCTAAAGGAAGGAGTCGCAGGTAAAAGCTAGTTGTTTGAAATTATCTCACAATTTTCACTAACAATAATTAAAAAGCAAAATATCGCAATGACCGCTATTATGGAATTAGACGTTCCTGTGTCAACTTATTTTTTAAGTTTATGTTAGTGTGAGCAAGAACCCTAAACTTGATAGGATAGGACCATTAATCAAAAAAGCTGTGGCCATTAGAACCATCTGTGGTCAAATCTGACTGGTTGGTCCATGTCCACTTCCGCAGCGCGACGTCTTTATAAATAACACGTGGTTATTTTCAGAGTCGCCATGTACAATGTTCTCCGGCTTGCAGCTGGTCTCTGTTGAATGTTGACTAGTTCTTGTTATGTTTAGTCTAAGGTTTGTGGTCAATTTTTTCGTCAGAATCATTTGCTCTCAAATTGCGTAAAATAAATCTTTTCTAAATTATAAATTCTTTTCTAAATTGAAAATTATCTTTTCTAAATTCGCAGGTAAATCCAACTTACTGTCGCGACCTTTGTGTTTTCGCGCACATTATATATTTAAGCTCTTTAAGACGAAAAAACAATTTTTAAAATGATTTTCTGTCTACCTTTCTGTCCACCAGTCCGTGTTTGTTTTGGATAATCTCCAAAACGGCTAGATCGATTTTTACTGGAAGCTACCTGATGTATGCGATAGTAACGTAGGCTATTTTATTTAATTTTGTACAGGCGACGGCTACTGTGTTAAAGTATAAAGGCAGCGAAGTTGTACGGTTATATTTATGTTTGATATCTCCTGCAATATTGCATCGTAGTTATTGCTTATCAGCAGTAGTGCGTGCGGAGTCATCAACCGAACTTATCAGCTGCCTAGATAACAACAGCACTGTTGCATATCATCACGCTCTTATCCTATTGCAGGGTGGACAGACTTTCTTGGATACCAGTGTCTTACGTGTCATTTAGTATTAAAAATTAAACTGAATTTTGTAGCCTGTACGCTGTTCAGCCTGTAATCTATTTCTGTTTGAAATGACAATCAGATCCGTACAGTCGTTGTAAAGTTAACGTGATAATAAATATCCATATAATCCAAACTTTGGCAAGAACATAACTCACCTCTGTAAACTAAAGGGGTAGGCAGAGATCACGGACTTCTATTTGGTGCGGTCCTGACACATCTCTCCGGTTTTTTCCGCATTCATACATCTACAAATCTTGGTTTTGTATTATTAGTAAGTAATCAAGTAATGTTTGTTGTCGGCAGTGATGGCAGCAGTGCGGGCAGCCCCAAGGAGGCGTGCGTCGCTGCGTCGCCCCCGCCTGCGCACACGCATGCGCACGCCAAGCGCGACGTGCGCCATCCGCACGGCCCGCACGGCCCACACGGACCACATGTCCCGCACCCCGCTCACCTGCCCCAGCATCACCCGCAGCATCATCACCCGCAGCACCACGACCAGAGGAGGCTCAGTGTCGGTTAGTTGAATTGTTCATGTTGCCAACAATGTGTTTTAATGCAAATTACAACCGCAATATGTATATTTTTATAGCTTAGAAAAGAAACATTTTAGACTTCCTTCCAACTGCATTAAACATCAAGTAAGATTTTGATTCTGGCAACGAATTTATATTTAAATTGGCTCTGATAATTTGGAGCTGGTCCAGGTCACAGGTCGCTGCAGGCTGTGTGCAGGCGAGCGTCACATACAGATATTTTATGTCCGGACCTACTGACCTGTATCATTTGACTCACAAGCCAACATATAATGAATCATTTTGATACTGCAAGGGAATAAAATGTATTAGAATTAGATAAAGGCAACATATTAATTTAAAGTAAGGGAAAAAAGTTTGTATATCAATTAAAAGAAAAAAAATAAAACGTTTGAATATATCAGAGTTTTCTAAACTTTATTTTTTGAACCCACAACTTTTTCCGTCATCGTACACCTCTGTTGTCCTTTTTTTTATTTTACGTGTGTACAAAAGTATATTGTCCTCCCTTTTATTGTTTTTTTAAGAAAACAGAGATGAGAATATGTTTTATGTTTGGTGCAGGCGGAGGCGCCGGTGGGTCGCGGCGTGCGGAGCGCCGCGCTGCCGGTCCTTCAGAGAGGCGACGTCCTGGTCAGTTAATTTTATATTTACTATATATTAATTACTATTTTATAGAAAGTGTTGACACGTTTAATACCAGGACATACTGACCGTGCTAGTCTAGGACGTCAATGATGTTTCTTTTATGTCATCCCAACTTTAATTGACACCATTTAGGGGAGAAATTCGCTATTTAAATATCACCCCAAAATGACAAGAAGCGTAAGAGGTGCGCCACGACCGTACCAATGGGTAATTCTTGTTCTATTTCAACTCATATTTAGTTTTGTTATAACCACAAAGGATTAGACAAAGTTTATAAATAGATATGTGATGCAAAAAGTGATTATTGTATCGGGCATCGACACAGCCATTGCCTTTGCGTCTCCACAAGGTAAAAATAACAGCAGCGAGCTTGTTTTTATGTTTTTATTTAGTCTCTGTGTATGATAAAGTTCAGAGGAACGAGTTTTGTTTGACTGAGGTCGAGACTCGATGCCACTTTTTATTTCCACTTGTTAAAATGGCCGCATACAGATTGCTAACGTATACACTCCTACATGACGACGGCTTTCAAGTCTCAATACAAATTATTTCGTCGTAAATGGCTCTACGGAACAGAGAAGCAGCGATCGTGGATGGACTTGTGATGATCGGTAAAATCCTGTAAAGCTCCTGCCTCCGTGACCACAGGTTGTTACTTAAAAAACTGCATAAGTAATATGTGTAAAAAAGAGTACAGACCAAGAGTCTGTAGATGTCGTTTGTTCTAATGAAAAAAAGCACTCTCCACTACGGATGTGTAGTGCTACAACAGCCTTATAAAATGAAAAAAATATATTGTCGATACAAGGAAGCGTGAATTAATTTAAGACTCGATTTAAATCTAGATTGAAAGTTTGTGAACGTCCGCGTCGGCCGCGGCCGAGGTTTCGTAAGCCGCTTTCTATAGCGCGACTCCTCTCTGCTTGCTCCTTTTGTTTTATATATTATGCACAGAGACGGAATTGTGGACGTGTGTGATGGAGACTGACTGAGTACACAGTGCACTATTACTATTGTTTGAATGCAAGAATACACAACCCGCAAGACATTCGAAGGAGAATGAAATGTATCTTATATCTATTTATATTGATAAAATTGAAAGGTTTGTATGTAGTATCGAGATAAAAAATATTTCGTGTCTTCGCTTTTGTTCCGAGTAATCTCCGAAACGGATGTACTAATTTAGACATGACTTTCGGGTAGGTAGCCTATCAACGCGGGCATATAGTGAACATGACAAAGTCGCAGGAGACCGCTAGTGTATTAATACAAATGACACGAAGCTCTACTATAATAGAATAATTTAAATGTGTAGAAATAAAAATATAACGAGTTCGTACCATTTCGAAACTTAAAGTCAATTCTATACATTTTTAGGCTTTGTCTAGAGGAGGCAGTTGTATATGTTCGTGTGTACAGCTCTGTATGAATGTGTCGTCACTAGCGACTGTATAACAATAGTCACTGTTCGAGGCATAGATAACAAAACCAATGCGAAGTCTATGGTTAGTGTTTGAGCAGTGTTGTCTATTGTAGAGGTTCACTAAGAGAGGTGTTAGGTTACGTATTGTCACCTCATGGGACTTTCATAAATATCCGGATACGGAGCAATACCTATTGAATATTAAATGCACTGCTCACACATCACATCTTTTGTTTATATAATTAGCAACTGTTATTGTACAGCAGAAGGAAAGTGTTCAGTCGAAATACTGTCTACTTTTTAATTTCTTGCATCAGTTTAGTAAATGTTAATAAATTTTGTCTCGACATTAAAAACTTTAAAACTATTACATTTAGTTTGGTAGTATACTTCATACTTAGTTTACTATTGCCACAGTCTAGTGGTCTGTCTGGTCATACCTCGAGTAAGTGCGCGCGTGTCTGTTGCCAACTCCGCCACGAGCCGAAATGCGTCTTGTGCGGCCACAAACACAGCGTTTTAAAATAATTATATATTGTGAGGATTTGTAAACAGTTATTTAATTCAGAGTTGTCTTATAATATATAATCGAACGATATAGATTTAAACTTTCTTATAGTAGAAGAAGTACTAGAATATAATATCTATAGAACATAATGTGCTATAGAATTAAAAAAAAATCGTTGCAACTTTTCGCCCGCTTGTTTAGCGGCCGCACCGGTCGGATCAACTTTCCCCATAGCGCGTGCGTTACCACGGTCCCGCCGGTTGCGTAAGTGTTCGCACGGCCCCGTGATGCTTCCCCACCACTGGGCCCCGCACCGTGCCTACACCGCACCCTCCCGCGCCCTCCCGCGCCCTCTGCGGTAACTTTGGGCAAGAAGGTGCTTGCGAGGTGAACCTCTGCACTTGGAGGGCATCTTTGGACATTTCTATCGTTTGAAAATTGTTATATGTAGCCATGAACTAGCGATTAATTGCGCCATCAAAGTATGACTCATCGACATTTGTGTTGCTTTAAGTGTTGTTATGTCTTTGAATGGATTAAATGTCTTCTTATTATAATTAAATTTATGCTAAATAGGATTCTCATTCATCTTCATTCATTCAGAGTAAAATTGGTTGCCGAGATGCAAAGATTTTACTTTGAGGAACCATTATAAATGTTTGAGTAGGTAACTAATAAACGAGTCTTAAATGTGGTAGTTGGTCATCTTGCTCTAATTTTCTGTACTCATGTAAGTAGGTGAACGCATCGAATTATGGATTAACAAGGCTGTAAGACATCGTATACCCGTAATTGGATTGAGACGTGTTAATTATCCTTAGGCTGAAAATTAAAATCCTATAATTAGTTGTTCAAATATTGAGTGGTACATTGGCGTATTGCAGAGATGAGGTTGAGCCCGGGTGCGGGGGCGGGGCCGTCCGCTGAGCCTCACCTGCACCACGCCCCGCACCACGCCCCTCACCACATGCATCACATGGTAACATATTGTTTCATCACTTATTCAAGATATAAACAAGTACACGTCTATAAGAACGCGACGTGATGTTGCAGGACACGAACCCGCTTGAGGGCGGCGTGGAGTCGTTGGTGAGCGCGGGCTCCTCCGACGGTGAGCTGTCTAGCAAGGCAGGCGACAGCCCCAGCAGGAAGCGCCGCCGGATCTCCCGCCATATCTCATCAGGTAACTGTCCAGTGCTATCTCTCTGCTCCTACTGTGTTGTAACTTAATGCGGGCAAATAGTCCTAATGAAGTATAATACATTGCAGGTGAAAGCAATGTGTCGGTGGCGGCGCCAGTGGTGGAGCGGCGGACACCCCGGCTGCCCTATCAGCCTCCGTAAGTACACTACACTGCGTTACAATACTTAAGTGTAGCGAAGATGATGAAGAAATGGGTTATTTAAACCTGTAACTTTGTGTGCAGGCGCCGGATGCGGTACGTGAGCGGTGGCGGCGGCGTGTGGGCGCACGAGCGTCTGCTGGACTCGCACCCGCAGCACGTGGCCCACCCCCACGCGCTGCCCCCGCATGCCCACCCCCACGCACACCCGCACGCCCACCCCCACGCGCCGCTGCTGCTCGACATCAACCAGGTTAGCATACATTCTCCTGTCACATTTTTGCCACAACAAAACTACTCACAACTTAACATTTCCGAGGTGACTCGTCAAGAGGACATCACATTTGAGATTTAACACGTAAATACTTTTTTAGGCGGTTATATGCGGTGAAATCCCGTCCTGAACATTGTCAAAGGCCTAGCTATAATCTTAAAACTATAAAATGTCCGCAATTAAAATGTCTTGGTTAATAGTTTGAGGTCAGAGAATCATCTTTGTTCGTGAAAATGTGAAATAAGGCTCAAGTGTGCCAATTTGAATGTGCGTGTGGCCGCTACAGCGATAGGGATACGTCTATGTCCCTGTTCGCGCCCCCCACCCTCCCCCGGCCTACATATTGCTCTCTTTAGGTTTGTTTGCAAATGTACATTGTATTTAAGTTTTGTGGTTGAAGTGTGATATTGTGCGTAACATGAGGGCGACGCGTGTTCTCTAGATGTCGCTGCGGGGCGCTCGGCTGGGCGCGCTGGGTGGCGGCGTGGGCTGGCCGCACCCCCACGCCCACGCCCACGCGCACCCGCACGCCCACGCGCACCCGCACCGCGACCACGCGCAGCGCACGCAGGTACGCACACACGCACGTAGGCGGGGCTAGCGATATGCGGCACGCACGCACCACTTCACACTAACAAATTAATTCACGTACCCACTTTGATTTCATTTAGATAAATAAATATTACAACAAATAACAATACAGCTGTTTAGCTAATTAATATTTAAGTAACAACAGTTTTTTTTTTTAATTATGTTTCAGTTAGTACTTTAAACTGAGAGTTCAGAAGGGAAGACAAAGTTTACGTGAATTAATTTCCTAGTCCCGTATTGTTCTATTTATGTCTGAAACGTTAGATAGAATCGCGGTGATAATCGTTGTCTCTTGTTTATAAAGTGACAAAGGATGCCCACACGAGCAGTGCGGAGTCGCTGTTCTATCAATATGTTGTACACCAAAGTATGTGGAGTGTGTCTAAGTAGGCATATTGCAATCGTACGAAACAGCAGCAGTTATAAACATTTTATACAATATACTTTGGTCTTTTCTCTGTGTATTTTTGTTTTAACATTTTATAATCTTATGTAATTTTATTTTAAAACGAAATACAGTTTTTTTTTATTTGAATATACATATTTCAACCAAATATAACAGTATGTACTTGTCAATACATTTTTTAATCTGTACTTACGACACATGATATAGATAGCAGTTTTACAATATTATGCCATTAACGAACACTACGATATCAAATTGAAAAAAAAACATAAGTAACAGAGTGAAGGCACACATTGCGAATTTGATTTAGTATATATTTTTATAGACTTGTTAAAAGTTGGTTATGTTATTACGTAAGTTAAGAACTTAGTTTAAGACACAATCTTTCTGACTTAAGTTTGATACAGAAACTGTTTCACTGTATCTTTCAAGATGGCAAGTGATGAGTTACGTTACGGATTCGAAGACGATAGGTATTATTTACCCAAAATCTGGGCATAGCATATATATATATATAATATAAGTGACGGCCTTGTTATATAAGTATTAGGATGTGCACTGTGCTCCAAATTAGTCATAAGTTGTTATATATGATGAACCTTACCCTGTTCATCCGTTGTGTAACGTGGTGCGACTGTACGTACTCCTAACGACGGAAACCTAGCTAGCTTCTATCAATACATTGGAATTTTTGGTCCCTCGAGTCGGACTTTTGTATTTGTTGAGTTGGGTACGGTCGCGCCCCGTGTGTCGCGAGGGGTGTAGGGGTGGGGTGGGGTGGGTAAGCAAGGGCGGAGATGCGGAGGTACAGAGCGTGCGCTGCAGGTGGCGAGCGGCGGCGGCGCGGCGGGCGAGCTGTGGGGCGCCGCGGTGTTGCCCGCTCTGCCGCTGCGCTACCAGGTACCGCACGCTGCACTGCTGGCCCACGCCGGCATATAGTGCCTAACTACATCTGTTGGGGTTCATGTTGCTATCTCATTGTAATAATTTGGGTGTCTAGTGCATCGACAGTAATGGGTTGTAGTTACAGGTTGAGTGAAGCTTTGTTCCCGAGAGGAATTGTATGTGATGGTTTTTGAATCGATGTAACGAATGAGAATTACAATTTTTGCTCCACCATCAAAGGATGAGAAAACTAAATTACAAGTATTTTTTTGATATTAGTCGAAGATTCCTCTTCGTTACATCAACGCTTTACTAAAATGGTCGACGCTTGTTTTCGTCCCTTTTCTTTAGATTTTACGGCACCGTTCAAGTATAATTGCTATTTTGTGCTCGTCACTTGATTCGCCATACTCGTGGCGATCCGCTTCTTATCTTGCCCCGACCTTCCAATGGTCCTTAAACGATTCAACGCTATCGTGATTTTAGATTTCACTTGAGATCTGCATGTTTCCTTCAAATTTCTAATGCTTGGAATATCACGGAATGTTTTACGATTGTAATGTGATCTGTTATGCTCATGACAGACGTCTTTGTCTTGTTTCTACTTGGGCTTGAGGTGTAGGTGCTTGTTCCAGATACTCCGGTGCCCTTTACATTACGTATGTGCTGAACAAATGCTCTCTTAGTGTTAACAATTGTGCTAACTTTGCTCTAAGGTGCTGCGGCTGTGGAACCAGATTTAGTTCAAACGACACTATCTTCTAGTTGCATCAGCAGCACTGCAGTTTTCTAAACATTAGTTTCGTTATAGTTTTAGTTGTGGCCAAATTTGTTTTTGAGTCTTGAATATATATACAAGTGTTCCGATGGTTTGATATTGTGTCTAGACAATTTCACAGTGCGTTTTGAAATTTATAGCTGCACTTTTATAATATTCTATTTCACATCAACAGTTTAGTTTTAGCAAATCTGTTGAGGCTTGCTTCAAGTTTTTCAATAATTCTAGATGTGTTTTGGGGTCGTTTGTCTTCAGCAGTAGCCCCGCTTGTCTGCCGGCAATGTTCGCACGCATTACTTCATAGATTGAGAACGGTTACAGTTCCTGCTTACGTTTATAACTCTAGCGACTTGCAGAACTAGACCCAGAGGTTAACAGTTTTTATTGTGGTATTTTAGAGGTACGCAAACATATCACAAACGAAATTTTTCCCTACATTGCTAATTTTTAGTTCTTTTAAAGCAAGATAAGAACCCCCGCTACTACATTCTAATTTATAAATTACAGAAGCCTGAATTGTGAAAGATTTTTCTATCTGCTTCTTAGTTCGCTCTCACAAAACGTTTTTGACATAATTTTTTTCTGATTTCCTAATGGGCATCATTTTCTTTCTATTACTTATATTTACCCATGGCTTCGTTCGCATATTCTCTTTTACAATAATATGCTAAATACATATTTCTTGTGTTGGTGAAATCCGAAATATTTTTGAAATCGAATCTAAATTGAATTTTTTTTATTGCAACTTATTCTTTGCCTTTACCTGCCTTCAAGTGAATACTTTAAAACTTGCTTAAATTATTAATACGAAGTAGCATTTTGTATGAATACTAATTAAGATATAATATGTTTGCGTGCCTCTCATATAAACGGTCGGTTCCGACTCGAGCACATATGCATGCCCAGATTATATTGTGATGTAACCTAACTCTGCGACGGAATCCATTAGTTTTAATTCTTTAACGACATCTGTATGTTGCTTGTAAGACTTACGTTTGCGTCTCCAACCCCTCTAGACGTGCAGATATCGTCTTACTCTCGCTCACTATAAGGTCTACAATGCTATGTACCGGACGCTGCTTGAATTTACGCCACAAGTTTGATTATGTCAACTGTCAATAATCTGATTATTTCATTATGCGCTTTATTACTATAGCTGTCTTAAAGGTGTTTGATGGTCACTGCTTATTTTCGTTGTTTCCTTTAAGTTTAGATTTGCATGTAGGTCACATCCGCGTGAAGTCTTTCGTTTTCAATTACGCGTCTATTTCTTTTAAAAAAAATCTGACTTTACCATTTGGCATTCTTGCTTTCTATCATTTAAGCCATTATCTATTTATATTACTAGATTAAGCAGGCTTTTTTGTTCTAAATGCAATGTTCAAGCAGCGTTCGAACCAAATAATATTGTGGTGGGGCTCGGGAATATCTTTATATTTCACATGTGTTATCAAATGTACCGGGTACAGTGTACAGCTTGTCCTCCCGGCGAATGAACGTAAAGTGAAGCACCTTCCTAACCTCTCACAAAAACTTTAGAAATAGACGTGCATAATGCGAGTAGCGGTCGACTGTTCTTATTCTTTTATTATGTGTTTAAATTTTCAAAGTGCTACTTCTTAGTATGACATATATTTATTGTATTTGTGGCCAGATAATATTGGTAGCCTGGCGCGGACTGAATATTTTCTATGATTCTATTTCACCTTCCTCTGTATAATGTGATTTGAGAGACACGTCCGCTACTTTATAAGCACATGTTATGTTAGCGTTAAAGCTTGGCTCTTGTGATTGTGGCAGGATGTCGCGGGCGCAATGTAAACATGCCTTTTGGGCTAAGAAATGCTCTCCTAACATTCCATGACAACGCAAAGTTCACAATGCGCCCGCGGGGAAGTCAGGCGTTGGGAACGATAGCGCTAGAACGCTAGCGAGGTGGCGGTAGTCTGCATAGATACGTCACATACCAAACTTATATACATATAATTTTATTGTATGTGATACATAGACAATGCACAATGCTTGGATGACATTCTAGGTACACGTCTGTGGATTTACACAATCTTGCACAAATAATTAATAAATTAATTAAATATTTCTAAGTTATTGAGGTTGTGTAACTACAATTGACGAACTTATACGATTCAGTTGTCGATGTTTTTATTAATTTCACACTTTCGACATAGTCCTTTACTTCTTTATATACAAACATAAAACAACGCAAACTTGGCCCCGATCTCGCTCACATGTAACAACGGGGCGCGGCGACCTCCCAAATATCTTCCCCGATACCGCATGCATTGAGTTCTTGTATATTGTGATTGTGTGAGAGCCCTCGCTACTAGGCTCTAGCTTACTTCGTAGAGGTCCACTGTGGAGATATTTGGTTGGTCGCTTACCTTCAGTTGGCTGTTATCTTAAGCTCTTTTTAATGTCAATTTTAACAACATGTTTCATTGTATTTTTGGGTGAGGTATATTAACAAAAGACGCTGTTCGTCGCTGTCAATTTCGCTCAGACTTTTATATCTTTTTTTTTAATAGCTGGCATTTAGAATTAATAAAATCCACAAATAGAGCGGTTTCTATCATCTATTTATATAATATATATTTATGTATTTACATCGTGTTACCCTCTCGAATGCCGCCATAGTGTTGTCTCCTTAGGTAAATCAGTATGTCTACGTATGTTTTTACATGTAATGCATATACGTTTATTTTCCGCTTTCTATATCTTAAAGGAGTTTGTATATCTAGCAATAGTTTTGATCGTTTGCTGTTTGATATGTCACTGCATCGTGCGGCACGGGCGAGTGCGGTCGCGGCACACCACGAGACAGACATCTTGCGCTTTAGGCTGTATAGTCGCGTTATAAATGCTAATCCTGTGTTTCGGTGCGCGGTTTCATTTTTACTTTTTAATGTACAGTTTTCCCTTTGCAAGATAGAACACAACACAATAACCATTATCCTTTTTTGATTATTTTTTACACACTTTTTTAAGATTTTGTATAGTTTTCCGCTGTTTTGTTACGTGTGTTTTATCTTGTATAATTTACTTACTGACGGGGCGAAGCGAGCGACATCGGGCAGACGCTATGTTCAATTTTTGTAAAATGTTGATTAGTTATTACCAAACAATCGAAAATTGATGTGGTAATAGTGTGGGCTAGTGTCGCTCCCGCCCCGGCCCGGCCGGCTCCGCCCCCGAGGGCGTGGCGTGTGCCGGGCGCGGGCGAGCGTGCGCGCTACAGACAACTTGCTGCAGATGGGCGGCGTGTACCCGGGCGTGCCCTACCACGGGGGCTTCCCGCCGCCGCCGCCGCGTGCGCCCTTCGCCTCGCCGCCTCACGCGCACTACATCGCCGGCTCACAGGTGAGTGATGATTATGTCTATACCAAGCGCATATCATCAACTAATTTGTTTTTTTTTTTCAAAAAAATCGTGATATTTAATATTTTTCAGAAGGATGGAAGGAGAATGTTAACTTGATTAATTTGAATCATATTCGGGAACTTGTGTAACGGAGTAGTGTAATATGGTGTGTGTTGTGTCAGCGCGCGGAGGGCGGGCGGATGGAGGTGGTGGGCGGCGGCGAGGGCGGGATGTCCCCGCTGCCGCCCGCGCCCGACCTGCACCACGCGCCCCACGGCCCCCTGCTGCTCACCGCTGAGGTACCACATCATACGCATACAACAAACATCCTTACAACTTCATTTATAAATCGATAATTCATCACGAGTCTTCTCGTTTAGCTGTGATTAAATAAGTGAAATGTTTGTTGTTGCAGGCTCGGGGGGCGCCACTGGAGCTGATGGCGCCGCATCACACGCGCCACGCTCTCCCTCACCACCACGTGAGTCACACGCTATTGTGGGGTGCTAATTCCATGAATGTCTTCGTACCGTGATATATCCCTCCCCGTCGTATCATTAAACGTAGTCTGTTCATAATAAAGTATTGTTTGTAAAATGTACAGCGGCGCAGCAGTGTGGGCGTGAGCAGCGGCCTCGGTGCCGTCAGCGTGGTGGGGGCGGGGTCTCGCGCCGCGCGGCCCTACGTGCGCGCCGCCGCCCGCTGGCCGCCGCATCCCGTGCACCACATACACGCTCAGGTAACACATTCACCGCTCACAATGGATGCGGTCGCACCGCTTCATCATCGCCGAGTTAACATATATGTGTTCCTGTATCAGAGCGGGGGCACGCTGCTGGGCGCGACGCTGCCGCACCCGCAGCTGCAGGTGACGCCCACGCTGTCGCTGCCGCCGCCGCCGCCCACCTACCAGGTAAGGTGACCGCAGCACGCGCAGCAGCAGTGCGCGCGCATGTGCCGGTGTTACAGCGCCGTGTGTCGGGCAGGTGTTCCTGAACCTGCTGGCGATGTTCCCGCTGTCCCCGTACGGCGAGGCGCGCGAGGAGGCCGCCGAGTCGGAGCCCGAGAACTACGAGGCGCTGCTGTCGCTGGCGGAGCGCCTGGGGGAGGCGAAGCCCCGCGGCCTCGCCAGACACGAGATCGACCAGCTGCCCACCTACAAGTACTCCGAGCAGACCAGACACGGTACGTATGGGAGGAGCCCAGAGATGAAGAGACTTAGCCTCGTCGTTTGTGTTAACGTGTGGTCGCGTGTTGCGCGTGCGCAGGCGAGCAGACGTCGTGCGTGGTGTGCATGTGCGAGTTCGAGGCGCGCCAGACGCTGCGGGTGTTGCCCTGCGCGCACGAGTTCCACGCCAAGTGTGTCGACAAGTGGCTCAGGGTGAGTCTCATACATACGTCATTCTAGTCATTTATTTGAATGGAATTTGAGGGAAGTGGTCGCTGACTACACTCGACAGAGTACTGTGTAGTTTGTGGTGTATTTGATGTTACTTCCAATGTTGATAACGCTGACATGTATAGTGACATAGTGAGCAACAAACAGCACCAGACAATACACTGATACCATGTTTGTTATAACTTTCAGTCAAATCGGACGTGTCCCATCTGCCGCGGCAATGCTTCGGAGTACTTCAACAATTCGGAGTGACAGCGCGCGACGCCCCGCCCCGCCGGCCACGCCCTGGGCGCCGCCCTGTGCCACGCCCCGCCGGCCCTAGGACCG